ATCGTTAATAATGATAAGATATAGTAATAATGATATATTTCATAAACGTTGATAATGTCATTGCAAAACGTTAATACTACATTGCAAGTTGTCACGAAGTGAAAGAGCAAATTTTAATTTTTAATTTCTATTTTAAAAAGGGAAAAAATTGTTAAGTTTGAATTTTATTAAATATTAAAATCTAATTTCGGGTTTCTTTTTAATTGTAGTGAATAGAAAGGGTTATGGAGAAAGTTATGGGAGGAGAGAGAAAGAGAATAATTAATTACTAATATTAATTATATAAGCATAATACCTTATTTATCTCAACTACATATTAATTACTAACCTCTTATGAACTACCTAATCTACTATCAACCAATAGAATGGGTTAAGCAAAATGCTTAAACATATATGCTTAAGCACTGGATCCTACCCGCAAAATGCTTAAACATATATGCTTAAGCACTGGATCCTACCCGCTGTCAGGGAATGGAAAAGGATTAATCATCGAAGTATGTCGGTTATGGAAACTCTAAGATGATTACTATGGAAATTATTATGCTCTTTCTCATTCCCATCATGCCGGCTACCAAAAGTATCAAGGGGAAGTTTAATTATTATTACTATTGTCCTCCTTCCTTAAAGTTGTTTACGGTAGAAGGATGGATTGTTTTAATAATAATTAATGGGTTAATTGCAAGGTTGGTCACTGAGATTACAAAAAATGTTCATGTTTGGTCACTGAAAATATTTAAATTCAATCTTGGTCACTCAAATTAGTTAAATGGTTCAAGTTTGGTCATTCTCCGTCCAACTCCGTTAAATTTGTCTGATGTGGCAGTCAACACTCAAAGTTGACCGTTAACTCAGTGACGTGGCAATTAAAAAATAATAAATAAAATAAATTTTAATCTTCTACCATTTCCAACTCATTTTCACAATAAAGTAAAATAAATAAAATAAAAAATATTATAATTACAAATTGAAAAAGCCTTCCCCGCAGCCAAACCAACACCCTATTCCCATCGACGGGGTTAACGGGGACGCCCTGCACGACGGGGTTAACGGGGACGGCGGGCAGAGCTAGGATGGGCAAATCCTCTCTCCTGCAACCCATGCAACCGACAGCCCCTTCACTCCTCCAGCCGGTTCGCCACCACCAGCCCCATTCCTTGCGGAACGACCATCACCGTCGGCATCCTGACCGAACAATTCCTAGTAAATAGCGACGACATCCCTGGGCTTGAATCTGAAGACACGATTGGCTTGTTGGAATGAGAGGCAGGGAAAGGTGGGGGGAAAGCCCATATTTCCCCATATTTCCATTCCTAAATCACTCTCTCTATTTCCCCATATTTCCATTCCTAAATCGAAAAACCATCCACCACCACCGCCTTCGCCGATTCGTCTATCAAACCACCACTGAAAAAGAGGGAGGAGAGGGCGTCAATGTCATCGTGCAGAGCGTCGACGGGGTTAACGGAGGAGGAGCGGGTGTCGAGAGAGACAAGGGAGAGAAGGATGGGAATAGGGTGTTGGTTTGGCTACGGGGAAGGCTTTTCAATTTGTAATTATAATATTTTATTTATTTTACTTTATTATGAAAATGAGTTGGAAATGGTAGAAGATTAAAATTTATTTTATTTATTATTTTTTAATTGCCACGTCACTGAGTTAACGGTCAACTTTGAGTGTTGACTGCCACATCAGACAAATTTAACGGAGTTGGACGGAGAGTGACCAAACTTGAACCATTTAACTAATTTGAGTGACCAAGATTGGATTTAAATATTTACAGTGACCAAACATGAACGTTTTTTGTAATCTCAGTGACCAACCATGCAATTAACCCAATAATTAATTATCTTCAATTCCCATTCAGTTACGGGATGGAGGTGTTACGGTTGTTTTTTTTTTTTTTTTTTGGCTTTACGGAAGTATGGCCAATTTATTAATTAGTTATTAATTAATCTTTGTTTTTTGGGAAACGTTTGGGTAATGAATTATCAAACGTTGTTTGATGATTATAATGTTTCGGTTACTTGATTACACTTACAGATGGAAAATGTAGCCTTTTAGGATGGATGAATTAATTGTTATGTTCCCAACTCTAGTTAATTAATTTCACGCATTTTCTCCGAGTTTTTATGTTTGAGAAAGTGATTAATAACAATTACTTAGAAATGCATCAGTTATTCTTTTTTCCGGTTTCATTGTTTTTCCGGTTAAGGAGTTTTATTTGTTGCAATACTATAGTTATTGTTATCAGTTATCACTTTATGGAAGTTTTCCGTTGCGGTTTAGATTATAAAAGTAATACCGATTTAATTATTATTTCCGTTGGCAACTGTTAGTGTTAATGATAATTCTTTAGTAAATATCTTGATATTGACGATTATTATTAAATGTAGTTGCAACTTTGTGTGTGCGCATATATTTATTATGTACACAATTTGTATAATACCATATATTTGGATGTACGGTGTGTTGTTATTTACGCGATAAATATGTGATGACTATCAAGTTATTTTTCCATGTGAATAGTAGTTGGTACAAAGACAAACTATTATTTGACAGAACTTGTCGTCAATATTTTATCTTACTTGATGGTCGTTGGATCATTAAAATGCACTTACAGTTATTTTGTGCGTTTCATGCCTTGTAGTTTTTATAAACAAGACTAATTGTTCTCGAGGAATATAAGCCTCATTTCAGTAAACTAAATTTTGGGGTCGGTTGACAATTTTAAATCCCTATAAAGTAAATATTTATATTTTTGTGCCTATAAAATATATATATTCACTAGCCCAAAGGTAGGTGAATATTTAAGAAAAATCATATGTGCACAAATAATAATAAATGTGTGGTGATTATTCGGTTCACGTGTGAATTTTAAAGCAGCCCAAAGGTAGATTTATTGTTTCGCATGTTCTTGTCATCAACGTTTAATTACTGTGTCATAAGACATCACTTACAAGTTAATATTTTGTCCAAAGATAAAATATTAATGGAGTGCAAGGTGTCTTGAGATGGAGTAAACCTTTATTTATAATTATTGTTGTAATTCTCTCTTAAGGATAATTAATCACTTATTTGAAATTATGTGATTATGAGAGAATTGTCCAGTATTTTATTAAATTAATTTTAGCAGTATGTTGCCAAAGTAACCTCTACTTGCGAAAAAATTATTTAACTTTGATTACATGGATGTACGTGTAAGGTTATTTTATGTGGGTAGTGCTCGACCCAAAGGACGACATTATTTAAACAAAATAATCAAGCACATTAATGGTAAATACGTGATAATTATAAAGTTGTTGTTCATGTGAATAACAGTCGGTCCAAAGATAGACTGTTGTTTGACAGAACTTATTATCAGTATTTGATTATTGTATTAAGAGTACCGCTCGCAGTTAATTTCTCTGTCCAAAGACTAATAATTAATGTTGCATTTGGTATCTTATGATGGGTCCCCGAATTTGAATAATGTTATTGTCTTGTTTAAGTACATGGCTTGATGTGTGTTTTCTTTTATCTCAATATAGTTTTTCGTGCTTTCGTTTAAATATTTCTGTCGAAATTAAAGTTAACTCTTCTATTAAATGGGATGAATCTAAAGAATTTAAAGTAAATTCAAGACAATTATTCTCGATATATAGGCATTGATCTTGCGCTTTTATGTGGAACAATCCCTATTCTACTTCGGAAAATCTCAACGAGATTTAATAATAGCGAATAGAGATATATCCAATTCAGTGTGCATGATGATCATTAAGCGCTCTATTCGATGAATAATTATGGGGCTATTGTACTGAGATGGCTCCGAGGTTGATTGAAGTAATAATACAGTATTTTTGCCAAAACATAAAAGGATCCGGAGTAAGCTGCCTATTGAGGTAATTTAATCCATAAAGTGTAAAGGCAAAATGTACAAGTGTATTATATTTTGGAGGTGTCAAAAGACATACTCAACACTTGGTTTAATTTATCTTCCTCCATGAAGTTTTAGGTGAGTACTAATATTCACAAAAGGAGAGGAGGGAAGATACGAGATGAGACTGAACTCAATCACTAAACCTCAAATTCTCAATAAAGGAACAAACAGAGAGTTAATGATGTTATGGTTTCGTTGAACTCTTAAGGACATGGTGAGGAGTATTTCTACTTACTAGACTCCATTTGGATAAAAGCCATAAAGGTTACAACGTACATCCTTAAATTGAGTATCCAGAAGATAGTTAATGTAACCAATAAGTGCAATAAGGACCTTGCACATTTAGAGTTGTCCAACTTAGGAAATACGTGAACAGTTCCAATTATAATCTAATTACGGTGTCGGGAGATCCTGAAACCTCGAAATAATGCTTTGCAAGAATAGCTCTGCGCAATTAGCTCCGGCGGCCGTTTCCGCCCAGTCGGGACGGCCTCCGGACGATCCTAATTCAGGTACCGGCCCCTTGCCTTTAGCTGGGGAGAAGGAAGCGAATAACAACACCTCTGGGTGTGAAACGGCTATCGACATGGTTGTGGAGGCAGTCGCGGAAACGAATCCAAATAAGTCGCCCATCTCGATCGGAGCTGGGAGTTCGAACCCCCCAGCCAGTAGCCCTCAATCCTCTCAACCGACCTCCTCTCCACCTACATCATCTGCTGTGCAATGGGTTCCCGTGGGAGAACACGATCTAATCACCGGGTTTTTTCAAGGCGAACCAGAGGTAAAGATTTCGGAGAAATTCAAATCCCAACTCAGCAAGCCTTGGCAGAGGACCCTTGTCGTGCGGCTTTTAGGGAGAACTATTGGGTATGCAACTTTGTGCAACAGGCTCCGTGCTCTTTGGAGACCTACGAGTGCACTGGAAATCTTTGCTTTGGACGAGGAGTGTTTTCTGGTCAAGCTCGGAAACGAGGAAGACTATTTCAGGGCGCTCACTGAGGGCCCGTGGACCATTTTTGACCACTACCTCCTGGTTCAACAATAGACGACAGGATTCCGGGTTACGGACAGCCTACCTAAAACCATGGTGATCTGGGTGCAGTTCCCCGGCCTACCGGTGCACTTCTACCACAAAGAACTCCTTTTCACTATGGGTAACCTCTTAGGCAGATCCATCAAGCTTGACTACCACACACAACATCAACAACGGGCAAAGTTTGCAAGGATGGCTGTTGAGGTTGATCTATCAAAACCGCTAGTACCGAGGATCAGGTTAGACGGTCGGTGGCAGAAAGTTGAGTATGAAAATCTCCCTCTTGTTTGCTTTGAGTGTGGGAAAGTGGGACATATGAACGTATCTTGCCCTTCCACTGAGCGAGGCACGAATGGTGAAACGGGCAGAGGTTCTCGGGCGTCGGCGGTGATTGTGGCCGACGAAGTTTCGCCGGATGCCAACGCCGGGTTTGGACCGTGGATGATCGTCTCGCGTAAATCACGGCGAAAACAGAGGGATACGGTCATAGTAGGTAAGTCGGAGCAGTCTGTGTCGATCGCCAACGGGACGAAAAAAGACGACGAAAGGAAAGAGGGCGAGATTACGGGAACAATGTCATCACAAAAAACAGGGATCTCACAGCACAAACATCGGCAACAAACAGGGGAGATGAAGTCGGCGAAACAGAGGGGAAGGGAAAAGGAGTCTCGAAAGGTAAAGGGAAAGCGAAGGAACAGATAGGGGATGCAGCAAAGGGCTTGCTAGGCCCAAAGCCCACTTCGGGGGAGGCCTCCTCGAGCGGGCCGAGGCAAACGACGTATGAAACCAACAACATTACTATGCTAAGTCGGGGTCCTGGGCTGCCCGTGAACAGTTCGAGTGGGCCTGCTGGGAATGCAGCGGATTCGGCTCTTCTATCCGGGCCAGCAACGCAAACCATTGAGGGCGGTAATGGAACCAAAATTCGTATCGTGGAAACGCAACCGTATCAGCTTCCTGCTCCTCGGCTGGTGAATCCAGAGACTCCTTCGGTGGTCTCCAGGACGAAATCGAAGAAAGAAGGTCGGGACGGAGGTGCAAGTAAGGCGGCGACACCCAGAAAAGGAGCTCCGGTCCGGCATAACCACCTCAAGCCTCTGCAAATCTGGTCCCCAGTGAAAGAAAAGAAGGACCGGAACAAAGAGAAGAGAGTTTCGCTTACCCTTCAACAAATCAAGGAATGGACAGAGACGTCAACGCCTAAGGCAGTGGCTGAGGTCGTTTTGACGAATAATGAGAATGCAGATAAGATGGCTGTGGAAACAAGTGGGACGGCGAGCAAGCCGACTGCCCTTGGCGCTTAATTCTCGGTGACTCCATTCCTCTTGCGCCTTTTGGGTTCTTGGCTGTTTTCTTTCTTTTCCCGCTTTTTAATGTCTGTCGATCATATGTCTGATTTCAAAAATTTTGCCTGGAATGTTTGGGGAGCTGGGAGCAATGATTTTTCTCACTCCTTGAAGCTTGCTCTCCAACTCCACAAACCTGACTTTGTTATTCTGATTGAACCGCAGATTAGTGGCGAAAATGCTAACAGAGTTTGTGATAGGATGGGGTATCCAGATGTCATCCGGGTCGAAGCTAACGGCAGAAGTGGTGGGATTTGGTTCTTCTGGAATGCCAAGAATTTTGAAGTTTCTGTTGATTCTACAGGGTTCCAGCATCTGACCCTCTCGGTCTCGAAGGGTAATAGTCGCCGCTGGAAGCTTACTGCCGTTTATGCCTCTCCTCGGCAGCAGATGCAGAAACTTCTCTGGAATTCCCTCATAGAGCAAAGTAAATCAATTGACTGCCCGTGGCTCCTGACTGGTGATTTCAATGCCATCCTGTCACCTCTAGAGACAACGGGTCAAGCGACTCCTAGAGTGTTGCGTCGCTGCAGGAGGTTCAACGATTGGCTCAATGAGGCGGAGCTGGTTGACCTTGGCTATTCCGGTCCGAAGCATACTTGGTGCAGGGGTGGGCAAGTGCAGACGTTCAAAGCTAGTAGATTGGATAGGAGTCTCTGTAACATCGAGTGGAGTGACTCCTTCCCAAATACGACTGTGGTACACCTGGCGAGGCTGAGTTCGGACCACAACCCGATCCTAACGACGGTGCCGAGTCAGGGAGTTACCCACCCTTCTCCTAGACGTTTCAGATTTGAAGCAGCTTGGCTTACTCATTCTAATTTCCATGACTTTCTAATTGATAAGTGGAATGGGCAGAATAATAATTTCCCTACTGCTTTGCAGGAACTCTCGGATAACTTGCAAGATTGGAGCAAGCAGGTCTTTGGCAATGTTTTTCAACGCAAAAAACGGTTGGTGGCAAGAATTGAAGGAATTGAGAGGAAGCTAGCTGTCTCCTTCCATCCTGGTCTGGCCAAACTTCATTCCAAGCTCGAAGCGGAATTAGACAGAACCCTGGAGCAGGAGGAACTATACTGGTATCAAAGGGCTCGGGAAAACTGGGTGAAGTTTGGAGAAAGAAATACAGCTTACTTCCACCAAATCGCCAACATCCAACGCCGGCTAAATAAGATAGAGTGCCTAAAAAAGGAGAATGGGGAGTGGGTGCAGGATAAACAAGAACTTGCTCAGCTTGTTTTTGATTTTTTCTCTAACCTTTACCTGCAGGAGGACTCTCTCTACACTGATCTCATGCCTAAGGGGGCTTTCCCACGGCTGAGTCAGGAGGATTGGATGTGTTTATTGCGCCCTTTTTCGATCATTGACATTCATCAGGCTATCTTTGATATGAAACCTATGCAGGCTCCAGGTCCAGATGGTTTTCAAGCGGTCTTCTACCAGCAGGAGTGGCGGGTTGTTGGGAAGGCTCTCACAGACATGGCTCTCTCTTTTTTCGAGAATGGGAGTTTGCCTGCTGCCATCTCGGAGTCCACTGTTGTGCTCATTCCTAAAGTTGAGAGACCGGAGTTTGTTCACCAACTCAGGCCCATTTCTTTGAATAATGTGAGCTTGAAGGCTATTACTAAGGCGATGACGAGCAGGCTGAAAGGGGTCATGAAGAAGCTCATCTCGCCCCGTCAAAGCAGCTTCATTCCGGGACGACAAACCTCGGACAACATCTTAGTCATTCAAGAAGTGATGCACTCCCTAAGGAAGAAAAGAGGGAAGAAGGGTGGTATGGTGATTAAGATTGACTTGGAGAAGGCATATGACAAGCTCCGTTGGGACTTCCTGAGAGATACTCTGATCGAAGTTGGTCTTCCTAGCTCTTGGATTCGATGCATTATGTTCTGTGTTGAACAGAACCGCATGAGGATTCTCTAGGATGGCGAGCTAACCCAACCCATCACTCCCACGAGGGGAGTAAGACAGGGAGATCCTCTCTCTCCTTATCTTTTTGTTCTTTGTATGGAATGCCTCTCTCACATGATAGATGAGGCCGTCCGCGCTAAGCTTTGGAAACCCCTAAGCATAGCGCAGGGCGGGCCGGGTCTTACTCATATTTTCTTTGCCGATGATTTGATTCTTTTTGCAGGAGCGGAAGGGTCGCAAGTTAGAATTGTTCGCCAATGCCTTGACGAGTTCTGCGAGAGCTCTGGGCAGAAAGTGAACTACTCCAAGTCAATGATGTACATCTCGCCCAACGTCAATCCGCTGCGCGCATAGAGATTGAGTGACAAGGCTGCCATTCCCTTGACTAAGGCCCTGGGACGGTATTTGGGGATTCAAACCATCCATGGCAGAGTCACTCGGAGCAGATACCAGGAGTTGATTCTGAAGATTCAAAGGAAGCTGGCCCCTTGGAAGGCAAAACGGCTATCTCTAGCTGCGAGGCTGACAGTTGCTCGATCTGTATCCTTGGTTATCCCTACTTACACCATGCAGACTGAGATGATTCCTGTCAATGTTTGCAACACCATCGACAAGATTAACAGGGATTTCATCTGGGGGAAGGAGGAGAACCAGGGAAAGATGCACCTTGTGGCCTGGGAGAAACTTACAGAATCGAGAACGCAAGGAGGAGGAGGACTCCGGCCGCTCCGACAGGCCAACCTCGCACTTTTAGCCAAAGGAGGATGGCGCATTTTGCAAGAAAAAGATACGCTCTGGACTCAAATCATGAGGGCGAAGTATGGAGGAAGGAGGAAAGATCTGAACATGTTCCGGCCTTGTCAGGGAAGTTCTTTTGCTTGGTCAAGTATTAACAAGGCAGCTAGCCTCTTGAAGCAAGGTTGTGTGTGGAACATTCATAATGGGAAAAGCACTAACTTTTGGTTGGATAATTGGATGTTGTAGGAACCTCTCATTGAAGCTGCAAGTCAACCTATTCCGGCAGAGGAGCGTGCTAGGACTGTGGCGTCTTATTTGGATATTGATGGTCGATGGGATATAACTCATCTCTCCCGCTGGCTCTCGACGGACATTCTCCAGAAGATCACTGCCGTTATGGTGGACCCTCTGTCTCCAAATGCGGACCGAATTTTTTGGAAGGTGTCAGCTGATGGCCGGTTCACGACAAAGAGTGCCTACCAGCTGAGTCAGGCCGGGCGCATGGGTCAGAATGACCAGATTTTGAAGGACATTTGGAAACTGCCAATTCCTGAACAGGTCAGATGTTTTGTCTGGTTGGTTTTACTCGGTCGGATTGCTACCAATGCCTTACGTTTTTGCAGGAGATGCAGTGACACACCGGCGTGCGACAGGTGTGTAGACACCCCCGAGACGGTGCTCCACGTGCTTCGTGATTGCCCGCAGGCGCGTTTTTGTTGGGCACGGTGGGTTCCGATCGACAGACAGACGGAGTTCTTTCACAGAGACCAAGAGGATTGGCTCCGCAGCAATCTCAGCAACGAGGATATGATGGAGTCTGGTTTGGTGTGGAACGAGTTCTTCAGCATTGCGATTTGGCTGATTTGGAAGAACAGGTGCACGGTGTGTTTCAAAGGGGCGAGCAAAGCATTCACAGCTCCGACGTTGGCTCATTCGATACAACACAAATCCCTTCTCTGGCACAAGGCGTGGGCAGCTCCCTCCTTTAAGCCAGGGCGGTCAATCTTGCAGGGGGACAGGATCACCGAGCAGATCAGGTGGCAACCTCCTAGCACAGGTTGGCGTAAGCTTAATATTGATGGAGCTTCAGCTGGAAACCCAGGGACGGCGGGTGATGGTGGGGTGATAAGGGACGAGCAAGGGAGATGGATTGCTGGTTTTGTGGCAAAGATTGGTGAAGCGACTGCAGCGCTAGCGGAGCTATGGGCTTTCTACCATGGATTGAACCTGGCGTGGAAAATTGGGTGTGACAGCTGGTGGTCGAGTCGGACTCGCAGTTAGCTATCCAGTTGATAAACAACCGGAGAGACCCGGTGCATCCCTACGCCTCCCTTCTTGATGCTATCAGGAGGATGTTGGCTCAGAGCTGGCTGGTCAGGATAGTTCATACGTATCGAGAAGGGAATAGAGTCGCGGACTGGCTCTCGAAGCACAGTCTCGTCTATCCCTACGGTACGCATGAACTCCCTAATCCGCCGAGTGAGCTCATTCAGATCCTTAGAGATGATGATATGGGTGTTTCTTTTGAGCGCCAAGTGAGGGCGCCTGTTGCTCTGTAACTCCCTCTTCTGCTTTCTTGGCCTCGGCCTCCTTTATTGCAAAAAAAAACTTAGGAAATACGTACCTTGTAAGGTACAAGAAGGTATAATGGACAAAAGAATTAACTTGTACTTTGTTGGCTACTCAATAGTACTCTCGAGGCTA